CTAAACAGTGATGATAGACAAAAGTTGAGAGAACAAGATGGGAAACTGAGGCACGGAGAAATTAAGTGATTTGCTCAACAACATATAGGAGGACCATCCCTTGCCCTCAGCTCAAAAGGATTTACGTTTACTTCAGCGGGAGTTGGCTCATTAAAATCAGACTATAATGGACTCTTATGCATAAAGATTATTTGCATGTGTAATGATGTACAGGAATGGATTGTCAGACTCCAATCCAGTAACGTGTGAGTGGAAATGTGCGTGTAGGCACAGTTTTGCAGGTTAGGGCCTTGTTCATTATCTTCCTATTCACACTCTAGTGAGGGCCTCAATCCACTGGAGTCAAGAATCTTTCCACTGATTTCAATGGGAGTGTGATCAGAACGTAACAAGTTTCAATTCCCACAGGCCAAAGAAGCATCAGTTTGGCATTCTATATGTTGGAACAGTTACCAAAACAGTTGGTACCAAACTGTCACACCGCATTGCCTATTTTCACTGCTAATGTCAACCAGTTACTGAAGAAACCACTTCATGTTTGTGCTTTAAAACTATTTACAATAGCCCATGTGGAGATGTTAGTGAGGAGAAGATCAGTGGGAGTCCTGTATCAAACAGGCATAAAAAAAAAAATTTAAGGCAGTGTTTAAAACTGATTTTTATTGACATTATCCAGTGTAAATGAGGAAGAATTCTTCTTTGTGTTTACACTAAAGAAGGGTTTTTTTTTTTTTATAAAGTTGAAAAATTGTGAGTGATCTATTATCTAGGAAAATACACATAGGAGACCAAAATTAAAATGGATTTTGAGTTGTGTATAGTTATGTTACCTACAAAGGCAAATAACAGAATTGCATACAATAGGCCATTCCAGTAAACTATTACTGAATATAGTTCCGAGTGCAGAATGTAGACCTTGCCAATTCACCTAAGCAGCCAATTCACTATCAGTCTTTTAGCATCACAATTAGCAATTAGAACTGTCTGAGTCTTTTGTTTTGTCAACACTAGTTTCTTCATATAATTGTTTGGTTTTTTCTTCTTTCATCTTGTGTTGATTTATAATATTTTCAGGCATCTTGTCTTTCGTTTGTGCTTCACTGGTGGAAATAAGATCTAAAACTACAATGGACTCTGCTTGATTTTCACTGCTGATCGCTTTTCTTGCAAATCCCAAGTAACTAGGTGACCTGGGAAGAAAAATAGAATAAATAAATCGACAGATAAAAGAAATTATCACCACATTTATGAGCAGAAATGTATTTAAATTATTAACAGCATGAATGACCAAGACAGTTGCATGGTATAGGCAATTTCACAGCAGTATAATAATCAGTTCATAGTGTATTTGTAGTATATTAAGAAGTAAACCAGGAAAAATTAAGTTACATAGCAACAAACAAGGATGTTCAGACTATGAAGGAAAAAGTAGTTTTTAAGTGGCATTCTCTTTTCTGTGATTTTTCTACACAATTCATAGCTGGACCCCAGGTTTCAGATTCCAAACGTCAGCCAAGGAGGTGGCAGTAAATAAAACTCAGGATGTTCATACCACAATACTGTAACAAAGTAGAAAAAAACCTGGATTCTTGTCCACATCTGCATTTTGCACCCTTGAAGAGGATGAACAGAACCTCTGATGTCCCTCTGCCCCATGCAAGAGAGGTAGGCTTAGGTTGTCAGATTTTAAACTGTGCTCACACTCTGCATCACTCTCAATGCAAGGCACTTTTGAAACTCCAGGCACAAGAAATTCACTAATATGCAGAGGGTAATAGCACTATATTCAGATTGTTTGCAGTGGGGAGATCCTTAAAGGAGAAAGATCGTTGTGTTTACTTGCCTAGTGAGACAGCCACAAAGCAAACTATAAGTCTCAGGCCTGGTTTACACTGAGAGTTTAGGTTGAACTTAGCAATGTTAGGTTGATTTTCTAACCAAGGAGGCCTTATCGCCAATCCTGTTCCATCTACTTTAAGGGCCATTAAAGGAGAATTTCAGGACTCTTGTTTTTCACAGGAAGTAACAGTAAATTCAACCTTGCATGGTCGACTTTGGGATAGTGGAGGCGCAACACTGTGAAAGCTGATGTTCTTGGCCTACAGGTATCCTGCTGTGACCATTCTGGCCAGGACTTTCAACAACTCTGCTGTTCTCCACATGCACAAGAAAGCCATGGGAACATGTGAATTTAATTTCCTGTGTGGACAGCATGGTGAGCAGACATCAGAGTAGGGAGCACACCTCAGCAACACACCTGACTATGAATGCTCAGGGTCACACATGAGCACCAGCATGGAACATGCAGGAGAGGAATCTGCTCTCACAGAACTATGAACCAGCAAAAGAACTGCAGATATCTATGCATAAAGGAGGAGAAAGGACACAAAAGGGATGCCCAGCAGTGTCGCATAAAAATAAAGGAACTGAGGCAGTCGTACCAAAAGACAAAGGAGGCAAACGGACAGTCTAGATAATCATCACAAACACACTTATTCTGTGAGCAGGTGCATGTGATCCTAGGAGACCAGCTTCCCTAGCCAGTCTGTGGATTCCTCCCAATACACTCCTCTGGCAGCAGCATGGAGGACAGTGTGGAAGAGGAGGAGGAGGAGAATGGTCCGTAGGCGAGCAGGGCAACCAATCTCCCCGACAGCCAGGACCTTTTTATAACTTTGGAAACAATCTCCTCCTCCCAGGATCTTTCACAGCCGGACCCTGATGTTGGGCTGAGCACTTTTAGTGAGTTCACATTTTTTAATCATGCTACCAGTGAATTAAGACCACTGGGTGTGATCTGTGGGGGCCACTCTTTCTATACAGTGGGGGCTCCCCGGAACAGCTTGTTAAAGTGTCTGGAGACGAAGTGGGAATCCTCCTAAAGCTCTCATAGAGCTTAAGATCGAGATGTCTAGCCACTGTGTGTGATTTGAAGACTGACATTGTGCATGGCAACCTGGATGAAGCAAGGTAAGCTATTAACTGATGCCTCTGCAGTAAACCTCCGTTTGCTCATCCCCAATGAAGCATGGCTTGAGTCCCTGCCCTACACTGCCCTGTCACCTCACCAGGACCTGCTCCCTCTGCCCTCCCGCCTGCCCCTGAGGGAAGGGAAAGTTCGGGTCCCAAACATGGCCACCAAATGAGCTCCTGCCCTGCCACCACACCCAGACCTCCTAACTTCCACAGACTCAAGCTCCAGCCTGTCCCTTACCAGGCTTGCCACTAACCTGGGTCCAGCTGCACTCCAAAAATCTCTGTGCGTACTTGGTGCATAATGGGCACTTAAAAGCGTAACTGTGACCTTGTACATAACTCATCTCTATCATTTTTTATGCTAAGAGATTAGGTCTCATGCTCGATAATAGGGATATCGGCGGCAGCCCACCTATTCAGCCAGGCCTGCTACACCACAGGTGGGGGATGTGTGCTCCAGTAGTCCAGCTGGAGCAGCCTCACCTGCATAGGTTGGGCCTGGCCACAGCAGCCCACTGTGTCATGGGTGGGGGGCTGCTAGAGCACAGCCACCACCTCCTGCAAACCAACTTAGATAGGGCCACGATAAGGTGCGTGCATAATTGGCTTGATAACTGTAGTCAGAGAGTTGTTGTTAATGGTTCTAAATCCTGCTGGAAAGGGATAACAAGTAGAGTTCCTCAAGGGTCTGTTTTGGGACCCGTACTGTTCAATATCTTCATCAATGATGTAGATATTGGGATAGAGAGTACGCTTATTAAGTTTGCAGATGATACCAAACTGGGTGGGGTTGCAACTTCTTTGGAGGATAGGGACATAATTCAAAATGACCTTAGCAAGTTAGAGAAATGGTCAGAGGTAAACAGGATGAGGTTTAATAAAGAGAAATGCAAAGTGCTCCACTTAGGAAGGACCAATCAGTTCCATACATACAAGATGGGAAGCGACTGTCTAGGAAGGAGCATGGCGGAAAGGGATCTAGGGGTCATAGTGGACCACAAGTTGAATGAGCCAACAGTGTGATGCTGTTGCAAAAAAAGCAAATATGATTCTAGGTTGTATCAACAGGTGTGTTGTAAGCAAAACTCGTGAAGTCATTCTGCCACTCTACTCTGCACTAGTTAGGCCTCAGCTGGAGTACTGTGTCCAGTTCTGGGCGCCACATTTCAAGAAAGATGTGGAGAAATTGGAAAGGGGACAGAGAAGAGCGACAAGAATGATTAAAGGTTTAAAGAACATGACCTATGAAGCCAGGCTTCATGAATTGGGCTTGTTTAGTTTGGAAAAAAGAAGATTAAGGGGGGACATGATAGCGGTTTTCAAATATCTAAAAGGATGTCACAAGGAGGAAGGAGAAAATTTGTTCCTCTTGGTTTCTGAGGACAGGACAAGGAGTAATGGGCTTAAAGTGCAGCAGGGGAGGTTTAGATTGGACATTAGGAAAAAATTCCTAACTGTCAGGGTGGTCAAATATTGGAATAAATTGCCAAGGGAGGTGGTGGAATCTCCCTCTCTGGAGATATTTAAGAACAGGTTAGATAGACATCTGTCAGGGATGGTGTAGACGGAGCTTGGTCCTGCCTTGAGGGCGGGGGGCTGGATTCGATGACCTCTCGAGGTCCCTTCCAGTCCTATTATTCTATGATTTAAGCAGTTAACCAGTTGAATGTAACAATTAACCGATTAACAGGATTTTACATCCCTACAAGACAACACATCTCCTGTAAAGTCTGTCCTTCACGTTTCCTTACAGACCCCACTGTCAATTTCCCCACTCCGCGCCGGTGCATGAGGCAGGCACACACCCCGATACTGAACAGACACGAGCAAGTGCTTGAAGAGGAAGAGTATGTTCACAGCCTCCCACGATTTGCCCTCATTCCAGCGGACCCTGGATATACTCCAGACTGAGGCCCACCACAGTTATCATGATTGCCATAACACTTTGCTGCGGAACAGGTTCCAAAATGGATTCCATGCTTACTAGGGATGTTCGATATCGTGTAATTGTATAGTCATGTAACCGCATGAAATCTTAGCTGTTATATGACTATTCGATAGTCTTGGGGGAGGGAGTCGGGGACAGAGCTGGCAGCCAGTGCACTCCCGGCCTGCTTCAGGGAGTCCCCTGCCACACTGCCTCTGTATCAGAGACAGCAGCGCAGAGTGGAAAGCTGCCAGGAGAGCAAGTTTAAAAACTAGACCCCCTATGCACAAGGGCTGCTGCTGCAGAATAGCCTCTGATTGCAGGCCAAAGCTCACCAAAGACAGGCTGCTCCATGAGATCCCCATAGACAGGGGCTGCAGAACAGCCTCTGTCCATGTTTGCAGCAGCTTACCCTGCCCTCCCCTCCAGTGCTGTAGAGGCAGTAGAGGGGTTGGTAGGCGACATTGCGGAGCTGGTGCTAGGGGAAACCGGTTCCTACCTACCCAACCTCACTGCCTCTGTAGGAAGCAGCGGAGGGATGGGGGTGGGGAGCGCATATGGGTCTGTGGAGCCAGCATGTGCAGGGAGCCTGCTTGAAAGCTGGCTTCCCACACGTATTGGCTCCAGCCTGCCCCTCTTACCCTCTGTGCTGCTGCCTCTCTATCAGGGTGCAGGCTTAAAGCCAGCTCCTCACAGGCACCATTGCTGCTTCGAATACAGAGGCAGCAAGGGGGTGGGGGAGTGTGTAGCTGATCAGATTAATTAGTTGACTACACGTTGACATCCCTAAAGCTTACCTTGCTATGGCATCTGCACAGATAACTGGGGGGAGGGAGGAAGGTGCAAAAAGACTGTTATCGGAGTCTTTCCAACAGGGAGGGAGAGTAGGAGACAAGTGCATTATGGTGACATGTACCCAGACTCTCACAATGCAAAGGGGCAGCAAGAACTGTAGGGACAGCTATCCACAGTGAATCTCTCAGAAAGTCGATGGCAGTCACCTGACTGGGACCACAATACATTGACGTACATCACATTCTTGTCCACTGTGGGGACATGTGCCTTCTATTTTACAAAACCAATCTTAAGTTTGACCTTATAGCTCAACATATATTAGGCCTCAGAGGAGAAGCCGTGTTAGTCTGTATCTAAAAACAATGAGGAGTCCTGTGGCACCTTAAAGACTAAAGGATTTATTTGTGTTTAAGCTTTTGTGGGTAAAAACCACTTCAGACGCATTTGAGAAAGTGGGTTTTATCCATGAAAGCTTGTGCCCAAATAAATCTG